GCCACACTCCTTCACAAATTCCCTCCACACCCCCCCAAAAAAAAATACACACAGTCACCGTCAAGTGAATCGCACACTGTGGTTCCAGAACAAGGCCTTATCAGGCCAATTAAAATCTACAACAGACACCTGAAAACACGACCAACACTGTAAACAATTGATGGAGGACAAACGAATGGGAAGGGAGAGGGTCTGACTGGTCAAGCCTAGCTGCATTGGTGATAAGGACACATCCTCCAGAGGCGTGAAGATGAGGAGAGCGGACCAAGGGATTGAATAAGGCACATGGAACAGACTGGGGTTAACGTGGCATGTGAAAGTAAATGCAGACCCTTCCCTCTTCCATGACATGTGGGGGTGTTTGGGCCCCAGTCATTTGGGACTTGGCTATGCTGGGCAACTTGGCTTCGCCAACTGCAATGAGCTCCTGCAGCTTTCCTACTATCGAGATCACAAAATGAAGCACCAAGGGGTGAAGCACCAAGAGGTACGAAGAGGGGGACGATAACAACGCTGGGGGGAAAGGATGACCAGTCTTAGCGCCAAGCCAAAGCCTTTTCCGTTCCACCTCAGCATTAAGGACTCCGGGAAACACACCTGCTAGCCCTTCTGCCAGGGTCTAGATGCCTTTCTTTGCACTCTGTTCCAGACACAGCTGCCCCAGGCCTCCATTATACCAGCACGTGGAATAACATTATTCACGAGTTGTGGATTTTAGGCATGGCATTTTGCACATTTTCTTTTTCCTTTAAACCCACTGGCATTCAGACATGCATGAAAAAGCCTCCAATGGAACCTAAATACTAGTATATACAAACGTCCAGTCTCATATACTACAGTATTTACGGTGCAATAGCCAGTACCATTGCTAAGAGATACAGGTCTACAAGGCAGTGACCCCACAGTACCTTGGCTAGTCATTGCTTCCAGGGATTGGAGGGATTACTGTCATTTAAATAATGAGATTCAAGAGGGGGGCATGCCGTGACTGGAGACAGCAGCCCCCTTGCCCATGTCTTCAGTGCCTCTGTCATGTCTGTGGAGGTGGCCTTCCCTTCTTCAGGAAGGCCGGGGAGATCTGGGGCACTTAGATTTGCCAGCCCCTGTAAACACAAGTGAGCTCTTTCAAACTGGCACTCCTCTGAGGCAGAGGGGGAGGCTCTCTTCACCTGCCCCTGCCCCTAGGGAAAACGTGATTGGAGATGGCACTGCACAGGAGAGCTGGATGGGAAGGCAGGGAGACTTCCCGGTTCTTGCAGGCTGCTGAATCGAGATCGGCAGACGAGGGGCTGGCGGACGCTGAGCTGCCCCTCCCTGTACTTGCAGACTGGAGCTGGAAAAAACATGCTTACAGATTCTCCTTCCCAGGCTCTCTCTTCCCCGGTTTAAAGCTGATTCATGGCACAGAGGGACGAGGGGTGGAAGGAGGAGAGTGAAATGAGCTCTGGGCCCTCTCGGCTTCTGCTGTCTAATGAAAGATGGCATCCATACACATTCTCAGCTCTTCCGTTGAGCAACCCCAGCCTTCACAGGCCCAGAAAAGCCAGCAGCTGCTGCCAACTGGGAGGGAGAGTGCAACATCCAGTAACAAGTACGAGTTTGTTGCTCTGGTCTCAGAGCTGTCCTCTGTGCATCTGCGCAGCAGTGCTCACTCACACATTCTCCTCCTCCTAGGTCTTCTCTTCCCTGTCTGTTTTTCGCCTTGTTATATTCCGAGGCTTGATTTTCAGAGACAGTTCCCACAAGGCCTCCTCGGCCAGATGGTCACTGAAATCGTTGAAGAATGAGACTATGTCGTCATTTCTTTTGATGTCATAATGTCTGAAAAACCAGAGAGAACACTACAGTTAACATGATGACTGCAACACGATGGGAGCCAACCTCACCCTTGGCAAACCCCTGACTATCTGCTCTGGAAGATGCTCAATGTTCTAGTTCTACCATCTGTACAACAGGGTTGACTGCTTAAGGTAACAATGCACTGGTCAAGGAAAGGCAAATGCAGTGTTGAACTTTGAAAAGGGAACAAAACACCAGCCTGGCAACTAGCATGGACCAATTATAAAGGCAATCGCTAGCAGGACACAGCATGAAAGAGAAAAACTATTAAGACTGAAAGAAGCATCAGCAACAAATGAGCCTGGAGAAGGAATAAACTGCACCTCACAGAAGGACCAGTGGACACCTTGGTTCATAGGAAGCTTAAAAACAAGGCTGGAAAACATTCTGGTGTGCATGCTGCCAGGATTACGTCTGAACCCAAAAGGGACAGGGATTGGATCCAACTTCAGACCCAGCTTTCCGCCGTCTCCAGGATTTGGGCATTCCACGCTGTCCTCTCCTGACTTCACGCCACTCCTTTCTTAGCTGGGTTCCTTCTTTGTTCCAGCACCAGAGTATGATCTGTGCCCCCCCGTGCCCTCTCTCATCTCCTAGGGTATCAGAGCAAACAGTTCCAAGTCAGATTTGACTCCCTCCTCAGAGCGACAAACAGCCAACTGCACTTACACTTGCTGGAAGCACCTCATGCTGTCCAGAATGTTAAACTGCTGCCAGCGTTTGGAGAAGTTCACTTTGCCATCGATGTAGTCTGGGTTCCCCAGATGAACAAAAGTCAGGTCCTGGAGAATGAGACCACTGGAAGAGAAATGGGGGACAGCAGGCAGGGAAAAGGGAGACAAGCCAAGAGCTTCAGGTTAGTCACAAGGACTGAAAGACAACCAGAAACTGCTTCCACTGCTCAGTGCTGCAGCAAAGTTTAGGTCCAGGGTTCTTAACCAAACACAGCCATTCCTTTCCTAGACCTCAAAAGTTTTTGTTGCGATGTTCACATTTGGGACATCCTAGAGAGGAGGCACCAGCACTTACATCAATGGCACAGGGGGTTGGATTCTGCACCAGAGGAAACTTATCTCTCTGCAGCTGAAAGCGAGGACCAGGACACAGGGGAGTTTCCACTCACATAATTCCCAGCAAGAACAGGGTATGGCAGCTTCAGCTTCCCTGAAGCGTTGTGCAATGGAGGGGATGAGCTCTCTACTTATGAGAACGTGGCTGACAAAAGCTCCCTAGGGGAGGCACAGGATCTGTATGATTTCCATTGCCCTCCTGCACTGGCTTGCCTGCTGACAGTCCTGAATGGATGGGAAGCTGTAGCTAATTTTGTATTTCTGCTGCCTCATCCAATCAACTTTGCACATAGGGAATTGGTGCTAGGGCAGATTTATTTTAGTTTTACTAAGAAACCCAGAGAGAATCTGACATCTAGATTACAGGACGTTTACAGTGAAGGGAAAGGCCTTGAACACTTCATTTGAGCACAGACAGTAAGGATGCATGTTTGCAAAGTCCTAGTTTACCAGCACTTACAGTTTGCAGAGCCAGATGTGTCACAGCCAGCTCTGAATCAGCTCTGACTGATGATTCACTGTGGGTCTAAATCCAGTAACTTCAGACTTCTCAGAGGGAAACTACTCCGTTTCTACTCTCAGTTCTAGGAAGGAATTCTAGTTGACTGGCTTGTACCAAAGGTCCAGATACCTCAATCTCTATTCTGCTGTCCCTGATTCACCTCTGTGTCAGTGTCCCTGGGTGTGAACTTCCTGAAGGGTGGAGGGTTATGGTACACTGTACTGAGGGATCAGGCTAGAGAAATCCCAAGTCGAGTTATTCTGTGAATGTGCAGGAAGACTGAGCATTCTGCTATTTCCGGCAAAGGGATGAGCTGCTCCAGTATCAGCATGCACGCTTCTCAGTGCCAACAGAAATCCAGAGCTCACAGGACCCAAGAACAGAAGCACTTGAAGGAATCCTCCTCGGGGGATAAGCATTTGGGAAAGTAATTAGGGGAATGAGGAGTGAACAATTTCAACTTTCAGCACCCACAAGGTTTGAAAGCAGCTACAGGACTTCTAGGTATGACTGTACTTCAAGTTAAGCACACCTTGAACTGCTGCTACTCACAGGTATGGTATACAGGGAGGCTCCACCTCTGCCAGAGCTGCTCGGTAGGCACGGAAGGATGAGGAGCTGTCAATCAGTGTGCAGTACTCAGCCAGGCCCTAGGGAAACAAAGCACATGCTGCTACCCTCTCTGCACCTGGGTGCGTGGAAATCTCATCTGCAGAGACCAAGGCCAACTAGGACGCAGCAAATTCTGCCAAAAGGTTGAATTTACCGGGGCCTGTGTTTAGCTAGGCAGATAGAAACCCACACACTTTGAACATTATCATGCCTTCACCATGCATAGACAGATAGGGTCCTAGCCTGTAACAGTGAAAACTGCATGCAGGCCAGTAAAGTAGAATGCTGAAGGAAAATGCAAATTAACAACATTTTATGAGAGAGACTTTAGCATTGACTGCACTCAGGTTTGAGTTACTAAAACCTAACAAACTGCTTTACACCATAACTGCATTCATCTTTCACTCTTAAACACAAGAACCCCTGCTGCTTCTCACCTCTGAGGTCTGCTTCTGCCACTCCAGCCGTCGGATGGGTGCCGAATCCAGTGCAGAAAGAATGGCCAGGTAGGAGTTAAAATTATTCAGCTTCCTTAAGTGCTGAGAAGAGGGAGAACATCAATGAGTGAAGGGTTGTGCGGCCTTCTGGAAACAAGCAGTGCTACTTCTAACTATGTCCCGCACTGCTATTTCCATCCTGCATAACATGCAGAAAACAGCCCGCAGGTGAACCAAGCCAAGCACCAAGCAGTTACCTTCATAATTTTGATAAATTTAAGGAGCAGCCTCTCTCTGTCTTGCGCTTTCTCCTGGAGCATAATGATTGAACGGACCCTGGGAGGACAGATGAAACAAAATGGTAACAGGGATTAAACTACTCGGGCTGGGTTATGATCTGATGGTTCCTGCTGCTTCTCCCAAAAAGCTGGTAACTAGCAAGCACTGATCGATGATGCTGAGAAGTGCCCAGTGCCTCCCTGTCAAAAGTTTCTTCTCTGTATGGCTTAATCAAATGCTTTAATGCAGAGAACTTCCAGAATTCCGTAACGCGAGAGCTGCCTACAAGGGTGCACTGCTGTCCCGCAGAAAGTAAGGCTATCAGCCACAGAGGACATTACTGGGCAGGTGTCTCCCTTACTGCTGCTGAAGTGGACTGGCAGCAGCAGAATTTCACTGAATCACCCATGTTCTGGATGTGCTTAACTCCTTAATGGATTTAGCCATGCCAGTCCCCAGGGCTTGGATTTTCATATAAGCCTCAGCATTAGCTGACAGATCAGTTCTCTCCAGAGGCCTGTTTTCAGACTGTTTATATGGAATAGCACCTGCATTTCTATACAGAGCTCAGTTCCATGCAAGAGGGATGTGTGTGTACCCAGATACATGAGGTGGTGCTTGAAGGGTCTCTGCGATATCAGCCATAAATCTGGGAGATGCAGCGGTTTCCACAAATGTTTGTGTTCCTGCTATTCATGAGTCGTTTGCAGAGTGGTCCATGATCCATTCAAGGAGGAAATAAAACTGGGTAAGAAAAGATACATCTTGCTATGGCCAGACAAACCCACTGGGACAGTCACAAGAGAGACTGCCTCACAGAGTGTTCTTGGACTCTAGGGGCACTAGTGATGAAATGTTACAGAGATGCCATTACTGTAATCTCCTTACCAGTAGGACATGTTATTAAAGTGCTCAGTGAACTGTGTCAGGTTGGGACTCTTCTCTTCATTTTGCTCTTTTGCCCAAAGCAAAACTTCTGGGATCTGGGAAAGGAAGGAAGAGAGGAACACATCACACATTACAACAAGATGTCTCCTTGTGGATTCCTGTGTCACACCCCTGAGTTACAGCTCTTCCCTGACGCAAACCCAGCTGTCTTCTACAAGGATGACAGGTGTATATGCAAGGGCTGTTAGAGAACAAAACCAGAGCTTGCAAACGGCTTTTGTTAGAACCTCTCCCACTGCCCCAATCCCTCCTCTCTGTACCTCTATTTTATAGAAGAGCTCGGCATCCAGGAGAGTCAGCTGCTCAGCTATTTCATGACTATGGAAATCATGCAGG